GGGGTAATTTTTCTTTTTTAATCTGAAAAACAGTGCACAAAACCAGTGGCCTCAGCATTTTCATTTAATACAAAGGCATCTTAGATGACAAGCTACTTTATCTAAAACTGTCTAATATATGTAGTTAGATTTATGGATTCAGATCTAATAGAAAATAGAATTATGTTTGTTTTTAATTTTTAAAAGCAGGTATTAAAATCCAAAATAAATTATATTTTTGTATATTCTGCATAAATTTAATTATGGAATGGGGAAAGAAAAAAATTCAGTTATCAACTCTATTAATGATTACTTTGGGTTAAGAGGAAATAAAAAAGCTTCTATTTCTATTATTCTGCCCCTGAACTATATATAATTGGATCTGATCTTTAGCAGCCATGGCAAACCAGGATTTCTTCATTTAGTTCTTTTATTTTAAACTTGCAAATGTGTAAATCTTTGGCTCTCTCTCATCCCCAGTGAGCTTTTTTATATCGCGTAGGACTCTTGTAATAATCACAGGCCCAATTTGATATTCTTGGAGACACTCCCTTCTGTAATTACATTTGTAAATTCCAGTCATATTTTTTAAACTTCTATTGGTTAATTAAACATGAATAAAGTATTCAAACCTTCAGTCTCAGTCTGAAATTAAAAATTAAGTTTTTAAAATATTAAACAAGCGCTTGTTCTGTTCTTCCAGGGAAAAAAGAAACATCTGTGTGCCCAAGTAAGCATGGCTATTCCAGCAGAATGATCGCTTTACAAAATAGCAGTCAAGCCTGAAACTTGCCAGTAGGCTCCACACTAGAAACAGAACCGACCCATTTTCAACAGATCCCATACTGATTGGCAGGTGACAGTGGCTAGATAGCATCTAGATTTGTAATTTAACTAAAAAGCAATGAGATCTTTTAAAAAAGGCTTCTATGGATGGCAGCCACTTAATATGCATATTTAAAAGTAATGTTTTCATATTAAAAGATTTAAAGACATTATAAAATTCTTTGCAGTTGTAGGAATTTCTCTTTTCTTAATTTATTATTGCATTATTTTAATTCCATTATATATTGGTAAATGACATAAAAGCACATCTCAACTTTTAAATATTCATTTCATTATGGTCACATACAATGAACCAAGCGCTGCAGGCCATGCTAACCCCTTACCTGTTCCCTTCTAGAAGAGGCTAACTTGTCTGGTAGTAATGGTTTCCTGGGCTAGAGGCCAGGAGGTCTGTATAGGATGATGTGAAAACAAGCTCTTCTAGCAGGAAAGAGTTATATGTAGCTATGTGTTATCTGGAGACCTTTATTTACTTAATATAAAGTGTAGAAATTATCAAGGCAGTTGATTGACTCCCTCCATGTGTAAACCATTTCCTCCTCTTGCTCTGGCGTTAATGCATTCCTGAGTCTGTGAAGCTTAAAGATCCAGTGCAGCTCAGGGAAATGGCGACAGGTATAAACTATCTTTTTTCTCGCCCTCCCCAGTTCTCCCTTTTTCACTTTGTCCGTTTTAATTTCTAGCATTACAGTATTGCTCTTGTTTATCACATGAACAGATGGGCATCTTCAGGGCCCAAGCAAACCATGGATAGTGATATAGAGAGAGTATTCGGATGCAGTCTTTCCCCCACAGATACTACACTGCACAGTGGACTGGTAGGAGCTGAAGTTAGAGATGACAGGTTGGAGCCTAACATGCTAACATCATGATTCAGTAATGATTCAATAGCAGCCCCTAACATTGACTGAGCACGTCCTATATATCAGATCCTGTTTCGTGTGTTTTTACATACCTTATATAATCCTCTCAACCATCCTATGAGGTAGTTCATAGACACAGGAACTAAGTAAGCCACGGAGAGATTAAGTAATTCAATGAATCAGAAAGAGGCAGAGCTAGCTAGGACTTGAGCCAGGTGGTCTGCTTCCACAGCCCTCCATGCTCTGCACTACAGTGAATCCAGAATTTTTCACTTAGGAGCATTTCTCTTCAGTGGTACCATCACTGTCTCAAAAGTTGCCATTTATATACTGAACAGACATGTGTGCACATGTACACACACCACACACACACACACACACACACACACCACACACACACACACACACACACACACACACACACACACACACAAAGCCTACCCTACAGGTTGTCAAGAAGCAAGCAAGGGGCAGTTTAGTTTCTTACTAGTATAGTCCATACCATTTTGGTACCAATTTGCAATAAATAATACATGACAGAATTTGCTCGATAAGCATTAAGAACCGCCTGTAAGAGGAAGACTGGGACTGACGAGCAGCGCGTTAAGATGAGCTGTGAGCAGTGGTGGAGGCTGGCGGAGCTGCATGGGGAAGGAGACCAGTAGCCTTGATGGAGGAGAAGGGTGTGGGCCGAAGGGGGAAGCAGACATGTTGATTACAGAGGCCTTTGGAAAGTAAATGAAACATGAGCTCAGTTCTGAATGAGAGGTTAAGTGGCATGACAAGTGACAAGAGCTGAAGACATCTTATTTCCTCCCTTGAGAGAGAAAGTGGGAAAAGGGCGGATGGAGTGGAGGTAAGGCAACCAGAACAAGGGTTATGGTTGAGGTGAGTGGGCATGAATGAAGGGGCCCTGAGTTCTGCGGGTACAGGGTGCACTAAAATGTTAAGCTAGCTTGTAGAGTCAAGGAAAAGTTTGATCTATTATGAAGTAGGATAGTTGTGATTAATGCTAAATAGACAAAAGGCTGCTCGATTTTTAAGCAGGCAAGTTAACACATAAGACTTCAGATTACTGTCTTAGTTGCTGGATGATGCTCAGTGTACCAGGGAAAGTAGGTCTTCCTTATTTGATCAGACATCCCACCTTCCGGCGTGTAAATTCCTGTTAGAGCTAATCAGGCAAGTGGTCAGCCAGCCTCTTGTCAAATGGTGACTATATTACCTCTTGACAGCTGTTGAAAAGCTTCGCCCTGTGGCTGCTAACCACCAAATCCACCTGTTTCCTCTGGAGCCAGTCTTTCATTCAGATATGACTCCACTCAAGCCTTCTTCCATGAGGCTGTCATTGCGCCTCCTCTACTCTCATATAAACAACGTAGCACCCCCAAAGGACAGCTCCCCCAAGTTTCAATCTAATCCTTGTTGATGATTTTCGGTTTTTTATAATACAGCTCTTATTAAGGTCTGATTATATTTACAAGACAGTTATGAGACCAGATTGGAACCTGGTCCTTACCCTTCAGTAAATCACAGAGTAAAGGAGAGTAGACAGTAAACATTTACAGAAGACTTAAAGGATCATTTTTTAAAAAGTGAGTACAACCTAACAGGTTCAGTAGAAAGGGTCAATATGGTGAGATAAGGTGGGGAAGTTGCCACGTAATATTGAGGTAAATTTTAAATAGAGTGAAATGCACAGGTCTTAAATGTACAGTTTGATGTAATCCACTCCCTCCTCAGGATATAGAATGTTTCTGCGATCCAGAAAACTTCCCCATGCTTACTTCCACTCAGTCCCCACCCTCATAGGCAGCCCCTGTTCTGATTTGTCACCACAGATTAATTTTGCCTGCATCATGTATGATGCAGTGTGCATCATACAATTCTGTAACCAAAGTCCACATCAGAAGCCTCTCACTGAAGATACCATGCTGTAAAAGAAAGCAACATTCAAAGACTGTGTACCAACACACTATGACCTTGGGCAAAAAACGTCACCTCACTGGGCCTTGTGTACAGTATTCAGTGATCCTCATGATTTCTTAAAGATCTAATGCTCCACTGACATTTCTAAACTCAAAGTTCCCGCCATTCACTCAGTACCAAGAGCCAGAAGCAGACCTGGGCGCATTCCACCTTATCCGCTCACGTCCAGTTGACCGCCCTGACGTCAGTTCTTCCTTGTAGTTTCTTACAGACGTGTCACTTCCTTCGGCCCCTGCCTCTTCATTTCTTGCCTTTCTTGCCTTGTAATGACCATCAAATTACTCTCCCTACCTCTATTGCCCCTGATCCTCTCCAAACCATTCTTGTCATTGCCCCCAAGGTAATCCTTGCTGAAATGAAACAGTCTGATCCCTTCTCTGTTAAAAAAAATACTTATGTGGTCTCCATCATTTGAGGTGCTTCTCTGCCACCTATAGAATTGAGTTCAAATTCTAAAGTTTGGCCAGGAGGGCCCTTACTGTATTCCTCCAGCCCCCTTGTAGTGCTCTCAGCCCCACTGTGCGCTCTCTCTGCCTAGGTTCACTCTGCCACCTGCCTGGCCTGCTCCCTCCCTGCCTTTCCCTACTCCTCACATGTGTCCTCTGGTCTGTTTAGGGCACTCTGTGTGCCTGTCTTCCTGATTCCTGTGAACTCATGAGTGAGGTTAGGAACCATGTTTTATTCATCTTTTTATCTCCAGCACCTAGTATATGACTTTGCTAAAACCCTAAACCCCAAAGTAATTAATCGTGAGTGCTAAGGATGATGGTATACTGGGTCAGGGTCTTACTTGGACTTTAAAAATAAAAAGTCATAGGGAAGTTTTCATGGGTTTCTGACTACTGTATCAAGTCTGATTCTGAGTTTTTCTTTCCAGTAGTTGTAATGGTAATACCGGATTAAAGGTGAGAAAGCTTGCATTTTTCTTTGTAGAGAAGGGTGTAGCAATGGGAGGTATCATAGCAGTGAATCTTGTTAGTGTAAAAGGGCTGGTCCTGTGCTCTTTAATTCCTGTTTCCAATCTGACTTAATGTGCTTTGCCATTTAGTTCTAGAATGGCAGATTACTGTTTCTGTGAATGAAGATGATTCCTTTCTAAAGGTCTCCGTGGTAATTAGCAGGCAGATTTTATAAAAAACTACAAAGGACTGGTAAATGTTGACCCAAGTGCCCAGAACACCAGTATTTATAGCCCTGTTTGTTTTTCATGGTTCAGTCTGTCCAGAATTTTTTCCTGGTTTTGGTTCTGCCTTGCAGTGTGAATCAGCATTGCTTTCCAAATTGATCATCACTCAATCTATTTTTATCTTTTCCAAAACCTAGGTAAGAACCTTGATGCTGTCCACGACATCACGGTGGCATACCCTCACAACATTCCTCAAACAGAGAGGCACCTCCTCCGTGGGGACTTCCCCAAGGAGATCCACTTCCACGTCCACCGATACCCGATAGACACCCTCCCCACGTCCAAGGAGGACCTCCAGCTCTGGTGCCACAAGCGCTGGGAGGAGAAGGAACAGCGGCTGCGCTCCTTCTATCAAGGGGAGAAGAATTTTTACTTTACTGGACAGACTGTCATTCCACCTTGCAAGTCTGAGCTAAGGGTCATGGTGGTCAAGTTGCTCTCTATTCTCTACTGGACCCTGTTCAGCCCTGCAATGTGCCTACTCATATACTCATACAGTCTCGTTCGCTGGTATTTTATAATCACCATTGTCATCCTCGTACTGCAAGAGAGAATATTTGGTGGACTAGAGATCATCGAACTTGCATGTTACCGTTTTTTACACAAACAGCCACATTTAAACACAAAGAAAAATGAGTAAAATTATAAGGTTCACGGTGTAACAACCTAGGGAATACTTTAGAAATGTTGTAAGCCTTTGTAAACTGAGATGCATTTTTGCATGACCACGTCAGATATTTCTTACTACCATCATTATTCGTTAAAGATATTTCACACTTAGTTTTGTGGAAAAATATTGCTACACATGATTTTTTTTTTTTAATCTCCGAATGTAATTTCAATATGCATAGCAGGGAGCAATCGCTGTGAAATAAATAACTCGGGACAGAGTATTCTTAAACGATCATCAGGCTACTCACGGACAAGGCACACACAAGATTTTCTCCAAGGCCCAATCCTGTTTCCTAACAAGAGGCGGCTCTGGGGCTCCTGAGCGAGCGCTGGCCCTTGACTGTGGGGGTGAGGGCCCTCCCTCCCGGCCCCCTTCTTCCCGAACTCCTTTCTATGCCTAGCACACCATTGCATCCTTCCTTAAGACCAGAAACCAGAAATCTCTTGTCCTTAAACTGACCAAACATTTTGATAGGAAGCCCTTCGTTATTCAGAAAATCTTGGCTTTTCGCCTTGCACTGACCGAGGCATCAGAAGACCACCTGTGCCCTTTTTTCACGTGGAAAATAAGACCTGGACGTGTCTCAGGGAGCAACCACAGGCTCTCCACTTAGAAACCTTCGTTTGAATTTTTAAAGATAGGAATTACTACAGTGTTTTTCTTCACTTCTACTTAATCTTGCATGTTTCGTGCTGGTTTCTTTACAGCTTGTTGGCAGGTGTAGCTTTTTCTACATTAAAAACAGTGAAAAGCCACTTACTTTTTTTAAAAGAAAGCGTAGAACATTCTGTTACTGCAGTCAGAAACTCGCTTGTGAAGTTCCATCTTTTGAAATATTTCTTTAAAACCTGCCCCAAAAAGGAAGGTTAGTGCACTTTCTCCATGTACACGGGTCTCTAACTTCTACCATTAAAACACTAACAACAAACAGGCAGTGATGATTTATCCTAAATTATTTAACCAGTGTAGCCTTGACATATTTTACTCTTCAAACCAAAATAACACAAAAATGAGTTTGTTTTTTAATGATAGCAAGGGGGGAGCTCACTCTTTTTCAGTCCCAGGCTTCCTCTTTCAATAGTACAATTTAAACTCATTTTTGACTAATTGTTGGCCTAAATATTCCTGTCATTTAGTGGAAAATCCAGCACACCAACACTCTAACCTCCTTCTGAGGCACAGAACGTGTGTGGTCATTGTTTCCACTTTACCGAAGCTGGGCGCTACTCTGTCCTGTAATGAGGCTGCTGGTCAGAGCAGCCGGAAGTGTGAGGCAATTAAAAGTCTTTAGCTGTTAGCAAGTCTGTCTGCTTTCCTCCTGCTTTGAACCAGCCTCAAAAGCTATTTATTGTTTTATGTCCTCTTTGGGCATGAATGCCTTCTCCTTAATTACATCTCCTTTTTGCTCCACAGTGACTTTTACCCAACAATGGAAACCTGCATTGTCACCAGTGGCAGGTAGGCAGGGCGGGAGCTGAACTTACCAGCAGCTTCTTGGACACAGAACTGGTTCCCGCAGAGCGCTGTTGACACACAGTTCTGTTTGGGAGAGTAGGAAGCAGTTCCTCTGCCGAAAAGCACCAACCTATATTTAACTGCTCCCTCAAGGCTGCTTTTAATCCTGCCAGGAGCTACTAATTAGCCATTATGTACATCTGTTGCAAACCCAGCTGTATAACTAGTTTTTAAGGGTGTTTTTTTTTCCCCCTTAATAAAGGAGATTTCTAATTTAGGTTTCTCTCAGACTTCCTTTGGTTATATTTGGAAACACAGAAATATAACAGTTAGGATTGCATTTGTCCTGGGCAACAGAGAAAAGCTGGCTTTCCCCCCCCCCCCCCCTCAGGTGTTTATACTGTAGCATCACTGCCCTTCCTCCGACTTCTCAGAGCTGGTCTTCAAGGTGTAACATAGCCTCTTTAACTCTCTGAAAGTTGTAAAAGGGGAAATCTTTTTTCTTTCCTTTTGAAAGATGTTTTCTTTTGACCATAAAAACATTTAAGATAAAATGGAAACTTGTTTTTACCTACCCCAAATTCAAAAGCACTAAAACTGGGGAATATAGACACTATACTTGCTTTTAAGAATTAGAAACGATAACTTCAAAAAGAAAAAAGTTGCTTATTTGTGTTTTCTTACACATGGGTGTTTTTCTTATTTAAAAATATTTTAAAGAAATATACAGTTAATGATCCGGAACTTAGAACTATCTAAAGTTGGTATCAAAATGTCAGGCAGAAATTAATTCAGCTTCAGTATTGGGATTGGCCTCGGGAATGACCTCCACACCGTCCCACGTCATCACTACACTCAGAGCAGCTGCCAGACACACACTTAACGCCCTTTCAGCCCTTTGAAGGTAAACTCGATGGACTTGGAAATGTTTACAGTGCTGTATGTCCAACTGTTAAATCTTTACCATTCAGAAACGTTTTAAATAAAGCAAGTGTGGTTTATACAGGACAGGAGCCATTCTACTTAAGATGGGAACCCACAAGGAGAGGCACTGAATAATTAGGTCACAAGTTCTTCCACCAGACATCTTTGTTGAAACAAGCCAAAGTAATTGTGAAATTCAGAAGAAGAATATGGTAAGAGACTAAAAGAAAAATAAATGTTAGACCAGGCGCAGAATTTAAAACTCCTAATAAAATTGTTCCTTGTTTGTTATACCATTAAAACAGACTGGGGGTAATAACAGTTTCCACTTGAGTCGCTTCCACAGCGCCAGTCAGAAACCGTGCATGGGAGCAAGACTGAGTTCTGCCGCAAGGGGGAGACATTCTCGTTTCACCTGAACTGCAAACATCTTGTCCCTGACCCCGTGCACTTTTACGATAGAGACTCTAATGGAGGGAGCCTGTTGGTATTAAATTGTTTACATTTCTTTATATAAATAATGTGCTTTCAGTGCCTTAGTTACGGGTCCCTTTCTTTTTCTTGTTCCACGAATCCTGGAATGTGTTTCTTAGGTAAAAGTCTCTTTTTGCTACTCACTGGGAGTGGTTTATAAACCACTGGTCACTGGGGTAAACAGTACTTTGTGATGACATAAGAAGAGAGCTTGATGCTGAGACAGCAGTTGCCTTAGAGCTATTATTGATGCTGTGGAGAGAACAAAAATGGTTTCGTCACATGATGAGCTTCAGATTAGATATGGCCCTAAAGTTGTCTTGTACCGACCTTAAATTTTTATTTCAGGAGAGAATCTTGGTTTTGGTAATTTATTTTTAAAAAATCATTATGTGCAAAATACCAAGTTTTAAAAATAACTCACAGAATGGCCTTAGTTTTCAATGTCCACTGGTATGTTTGTGAGTTGTGTTATCTGTAATATAAAGCCCTGAATAAAGTGAAATGAATTAAGTAGAGTTTACACGTGTTGTGTTTCTGTTTTTGCAAGACTTACTGGGTGCTACTTTGTTCTCCCACATTGTTCTAGCCTTAGAATTTGTAGTAGTCAGGCAGAGCTGATTGGTTAGAACTCTTTCTTTCACAGATGTTTAAGAAAATGTCTAAGCAAGGATGTAACTATACTGCTTGCATAATTGAAAAAGTCCAGAGGCCACAGTTGAATTCAAGATTAGTGAATGTCATCAGGCCTAGATTTTCCTCCATCTCTCATTCAGCCCTGAGGGCAGGGTCATCCTTCCACAAGTGTGGGGTTCTTATGGTAAATACCAGCACCACCAGTGTAAGTAGTAAATGGGACTCTGCAGTCCCCCCACATCCCACTATCAGGGGAGTTTACCTATGAAAGCAAATCTTGGACTAAAACCTGACAAATGTATGAAAATGTACTTAGCAAACAGACATACACATGGAAATCATGAAACTGAAGGGTAGAAGAATATGCCACCCCAAAGTACGATTGTAGAAGTTCAGGACATGTCACCCAAAATATGCCACTTTGGTATATTGATGATTTTGAGCAGTAGGCACTTGAGAAATGGCAAAGCAGGGACAGGCTTTCTCTGAACTCTGCCTAAAGACATCCTCCAAAAGGAACTCAATTGCCATAAGTCCCCTCCCCGGGAGTTTCATCAACCAGGGAACATGGACTCTTGTCACAGGAAAGGAGACCAGAAGACCACACCCAGACAGACATTGTCACAGCTGTCATACCTCCCGTCCAGTCTAAGGGCCCATTCGTCATCCCTAAAAGTCATCTACTCTCCCCTAACAGGCCTACTTCCCCCTTTTTTCCCCCCATTAAGATGGTATTTTAAGGCTGAATTATAAGCCACCTCGGAGTTGCTTATTTTTTCCTGGGTTTCTTCCATGTGTAACTGAGGGATATGTGTTAATCAACTTCTGTTGGTTTTTCTCTTGTTAATCTTTTATTACAGGGGTCTCAGCCAAGAACTCAGAAGGGTAGAGGGAAATTATTTTCTTCCCCAGCAGAACCTATCACAAGCTCTGCGATGCTCCACTCTGTCTTCGGATTCTCCAACAAGCACTTTGCTTGAAAGATTTACTCTGTGAGGAGTGCACAGTGTCATTCTCTGGGAAGGGGGCACACAGGGCGGGCAGATGGGGCCAGGAGAAGGCAGACCTTGAGGGCTGGCTTCAAGGCTGGTGGGATTGCTACATTTTGTTTACACAACGGGAGGTAGGAGAGCACAATCTTTCTAGCACCCACCTGTCTTCCACATTCCTCATCTCACCGATAAATTACACACAGGGCTTACGCAACTCCCTGTGGAGGGTGGGCTTCAGATGCCAGCTCGGAAGCCCCAGGATGTACACAGAAGCTAATCTACACACAAACAAGGCGCTCATCAAGCAGAAACATTTCACAAGTCAATTCCTAAGAGACAACTAGTGCCCTCCCAGCTGTGTTGACTTGATTCACAGGATCTACATGGGGGCTTGATGCCCGCAGTCCCTTCAGCCCTACATCCACTCAGGCTCAAGTCAAGTGGGAAAGAACCAGAGAGACTGCTTCCCCCATGGCTCAGCCAAAATCCTAAATTGGGTTTCAGTGATCATTTCTGAACCACTTGCTTGCCCAGAAATACCATGGCGGTTGCATCTCTGGGTTACTCTCTGTTTCCTGGAGCACAAGGGTGGGATGAATTTTAAGAGGACTATTACTGAGAATAGGATGAAATGATGCAGATGGCCAGATGTCCACCTTAACTATGGAACTCCCCAAACCCACCAGTGGAGCCAGGAGCAAACCAGCATGATTTCCAGAGAGGTCCCTGACCCCTACACAGCAAGACACACAAAGGGTCTCGGCAGCCTTCTCTATCAACACCAGGAGAACCCAAGCTCACCACAGTTGTACACGGACAGCCTCATCAACAATTGGTCCCTCTGAATTCTTCAGTCATCGAGACTTAAGCAGTCCAGTATTGAAAGTGTTTTTCTTTCCATGGAAGATCTGTTGAAGTGTAAATAACTGCAGCTCGAAACCTCTCCCTGTTGGTTGATGCACTTCTCATTCTAGCACTGCAGGCACAGAATCTCGCGGTATCACCCATGCCTCCCTCACCTGCCTTGACGATCAAGTTGTCACCCACCTGTGCCTTCCTCTTCAGGGGTAGCCATGCCTACCTATTTCATTAGGTCTGGCAAGCCTGGGAACCACCTAGCAGCTCTCCCGCCTCCAAATTCACACACCAGTCTCAGTACACAGAACCCAGTTGGTCTCGCCACAGCCCCACTTTAACCATGGAACCCGGCTTCCCACAGCCCTTGGAGGTCTCCTACTGACGGTTGGGCAGCCTAGACCCTACCTACCCCAGTTCTCCCCAACCCAGCGAACCTCAGACCCAGGATCTCCCCAGGAGTGAACCTTTTTGTATCAACTTAACTGGTTGCATTGGCCTTGTTGATGTCCCAAACCGCCAGTGTCCCTTGCCGTTTCCCACCTATGCTCACATCCCTCACATACGAAAGGTGTGTCCTTCACCAACCCAAGTCTAGGCAAATCCCACTTTCCCCCTGAAGCTTTTCTTGGTCAATCTAGCTTGAAATGTCCTCCTGTCACGCTATTTCTCTGCAACTCCCGCTTGACTATATTACATACTATCTTATGTTATAGTTATTTTTCAGTCTTATCGCCTCAGCTGAATTATAAGCTTCTGGAAAGCAAAGATAAGGATGTCTCACATTTCTCTTATCCCAAACAGTGTTCAGCCCAGCATCTTATCTATTCTTTTTGCACAATAAATTCTTAACAGTGATTCCCTGGAAGTCATTCAGAAAGGGTCCTGTTCTAAACTAAAGCCTGAGCCAGAAATTTACAAATTTAAAATAACAACAACAAAAATTGAGATGCAAACCTATGCCTCTGGAAAATAATGTGTTTTTTTTTTCAACAAGAACCAAACCATGTTTGACTAATGATTTGTCAAAATATATTAATATCTGAACTCTTAAAAGTAGAAACTTGGCTCAAAATGTGCTTGACTCTTTGCCCTTCCTGCCCACATACCCGCTTTTCTTCTTTCAAAAAAACCCTCACTGTTTAGGAGGCGCCACCTTCCAGGCGTGAAGCCAATGAGGCAGAAACGAAGAAGGTGAATAAGAGAGAACATCCCACCCAAGGCATAGGCCTGTATCTGGTGCCCACATGTGGGTGCAGCAGGGCTGGAGGTTCCCTGAGCACAGCTGGCCAGCAGAGGGCATGCGCCCTGGGGCCACTGTGTCTACTGCACAGGGCTAAGTAGGTATTGCCAGTAGTAGCTGGTAGGTAGTGTGACTTCCAGAAACTATTGTAAAATGACAAATAACCACAGGCCACAATGGGAATTTTCCATCCTGTGGGCTGGAGAAAGGGTCTGTCTTCTCTTCACCTCTTCATTCTGTAAGATCTCAACTCCAGCTGGGAAATGTCATTAGTGTGACCAGTACTTACCAGGGAAGTGAGCAGCCGACTCGGTTCCCCTGGTTGACCTCCATGCATGCAGGGAGTGGACCAAGGAAGGGGACAAATTACTCAGAGGGCGTGAGTGCACAGTGACAGATTTGAGATTGGGCCTGCAGCCAGAAGCTAGCCCACATGGGGCTTTGAGGAAGCATGAGGTCATTTCAAGAAGGAGAGCAGGGCCGGCCAAGTGGCGCGTTGGTTAAGAGCTGGCTTGGGACGCCAGAGGGCCCCAGTTCGGATCCCACATATGAGGGCCAGTGACACTGCTCTCCACA